ATTTAAATATTAGTGCAATTAATAATTAAAAATTTTATTTTAATAGTTACAAGTTTGTCCAAAACGTGTTTGCATTTCAACTGTGACATCACGTACAGATCTTTTCAAACGAAGTCCCGATAAAGTTCCTCTGACTGATTTTTTTGGTAGTGTACGTAAAGTTGAGTTAACTCGTTCAACTCTTTCATTACCTCCACTAATAGCAAAAAACCTAACTATTGAAAAGTAAGTTGTAATTATAACTTATTATTAAACTACCATGCAACTTATGTGGCTTTATTTTGTGAAATTTTGAAATAATGCATTTTTGCAATATATGAAATAATACAAAATAAAATTTTGAAGTATACACATACATGGCCAATTCTAAGCTTGTGAGTGCCCTTTGCAAGATGACAGAACTTGAGGGTTGAGTCATATTGCCTATGAATGCAGCATAACAATAATAATAATAATAATTATCATTCTACGGCAAGCACACAAACAACATAGAAACATACACATGGCATATATAGACTACAGAAAAGCATTCGACAGTGTTCCACACAGTTGGCTGTTACATATTCTACACATGTACAAAATACATCCATCACTCATTGCATTCTTCCAAAACATTATGCAGCACTAGAGAACAACACTACATCTCAGGGTTAGTAACACTTCCATACAAACAAACCAAATATTCAATAGGCGAGGAATTTTTCAAGGAGAGTCCTTGAGTCCTCTCTGGTTCTGCTTAGCCCTGAATCCATTGTCCAACATGTTAAACAACACACAATATGGCTACAATATCAGACATAAAAAAACAACACGGTTTACACTGTCACATCTCATGTGCATGGATGACATAAAATTTTATGTATCCACACAAAAACAACTTCAATTCCTAGAAATCACACATTTATACACCAAGAACATACAAATGGTGTTTGGCCTAGACAAATGCAAAATATCTCACATAGAAAAAAGGAGTCCTGAAGAAAGATTTTGCACTTGGAAATGGAGATGTTATTGAATTCATGGAAGATGGTAAGTTCTACATGTATTTAGGATTCCAACAGACCAAAGTAACAGAACATGCACAAACAAAGCAAAGATTAATTAAAGAATACCAAAGTAGTTAAATGCTATTTTCAGAACACAGTTAAAGCAATAAACACATGTTGTCCCATTACTCACATACTCTTTTGGAGTTATACATTGGACTCACACAGATCTTGTGCAACTCAAAAGGAAAACAAGAATAACACTTACTAAGCATAAACAACATCATCCTAAATCAGCCATAGAAAGATTAACCCTTCTATGTAAAGATGGTGGATGTGGCCTGATTGACATAGTTAACCTTCACTACACAAATACAGACACTGCGAAAGTTTTTCTACAAAAAGCAAGAAACATCACAGTTACATAAAGCACTAACTCTAGCAGACTTAAATAACACACCATTAAATTTACACTCACAACATATGGACATGACACAAAATATATAAAAAGCATAGATACCATTAAGCAATTGTGGGTTCAAAAGGCATTCCATGGCAGGCATCTTTATGACCTGGGCCAAAATTTTGTTGACAAAATTGCATCAAACAGTTGGTTAGCTTGGGGATGCCTCTTTGGGGAGATGGAAGGATTCATGATTGACATACAGGATCAGGTCATAAATACTAAAAACTACAGAAAACACATACTCAAAGATACAACACTCACAAATGACACATGCAGAAAATGTCACATCATGCCAGAAACTATACGACACATCACTTCTGGCTGCAAACTCTTGGCACAGACAGATTACTTGCATAGACACAATCAAGTAGCAAATATAATACACCAAGAGCTTGCAAACAAACACAAATTATTAGACATCCACAAACCATACTACAAATACAATTCCACAGACAGTATTGGAAAATAACACGCACAAAATGTACTATGACAGAACCATAATCACAGATAAAACAATTTACCACAACAGACCAGATATCACACTCATTGACAAACACAATAAGATCACATACATTATAGGCATATTCATTCCAAACACACAATGTAGAGAACACGTGCACTGAAAAAATCAGCGAGTACACAGAATTCGCCCAGGAAATAAGGCAACTGTGGAGGATGGATAAGGTGCTTTTTGTACCTGTTGTTCTTTCCTGTACAGTTATCATACCACACACACTACACAAAAGCCTGGGCACATTACAATTGAATAAAAACACATATATCACACTACAGAAGGCCACTGTATTGAATACGTGGCATATTGTTAGGAAATTCCTGAATACAGACACACACACACTGACACAGTTTTTTAATTTTTGTTTTGTTTTGGTTACTATGCCTTGACTCTGGTCTAACATAGTACACAGCCACTGGTGTCAACTGAGTATAACTCACTAAACCCGACATAATAATAATAATATATGACAAAAATCACTTTAAATCAATTTTTTATGAGTATTTTTTTATATTAGAATAGATGAGATAGGGATATCCAGCTTTAATAGATATATTAAACACAATGATCTAAACTAATTGTAGTTACCAAAAACAATTATTATTCACAGACCACAGAGTTTTGCCCTGGGCAAGTAATAAAATGTGCTTAATCAGAAGGGACTTATTCTCAAACTCAACATTATTTCTTTAAATGCTCAAAGTCCAGTCAACATGGTCAAAATGATTTTCTATATAAAATGATATAAGGTGCAACACAAAATCTTAGCTAAATAACATTAATTGCTTAAATAGTAACTTATACTTTGACTTATGTGACTTTAGGCTCTTGTACAGTTTCTCAAAACCATAAATTAGCCTACATGAGATTCCCTTCCCAACTGTCATCAGCTCCCTCTTTCCACTGAATTCAAAATGGCTTCTGTCACAAAATCCCCACAGAAAAACAAAATTAACATAAATCCATTCAAGACTATCAGCCACTCTGACGCACTCACATTCATATTGAATCAAGCTACATTAAGGAAAGTTCATTGTCTCATTCAAATTGAAAGCAAAAAGTACTCTTTGATTTCTGCAATGTATCACTAACCTCAAACATCTGCATCAGATAAATGTATATTTTAAATAGCATGTCATTGTTATAAAGAAAAATAGTTATAACCAAAATATGAATAAACTACCATTAATTTAAGAAATGAAAATATTAAAAAACAATTCAATAATTAGTCTAAATCAATAAGGATAACCAATTAGTATGAAAAAATATATTAATTAACCTATCCAATGTTGAAATTCGTTCAAATTCTGGCAGGTCCTTAAGTATCCTCTCATGGTCGTGCCAGTGCTGCCAGCTAAAACACGCACACCAAGAAAAATAATATTGGAGTAGTCCAAGACGTAGCCAAATATTTGCAGTGTTACAGCACTAGTGGAAATTTAAATTTGCCGACTGGAACACTTTCGGTTAACCGATGTTTTGGTTGATCGATATTTGGATAATCAATGCTCTACTGTATGATTAAAAATTGCAGTTTGTCATTGTGACAATGTCAATAAATAATTGCTTGTTCATATTGTTGTATTTTGACTTATGTATGATTGAAGTATTAATTTTTTTCATTTTTATTTTCAGGTCTCCAAAAAAGTTATATCAACATAATTATAAATATGTACCTCAGTTTCCTGTTTAAATACATAAATACAGATAATCAATTTTTCTTTTGAATATATTTTTATGTATTGTAAAACTTAATTTATTGTCAAGTTTTTTGGTATTATATTTTTAATATTATCTATAAATACATTTTTATAAATGTAATATAAGAACTGACAGTATAATCTGTTAAACCCAACAAACTATGTTGCTTTTGATGTGATGTCAGAGGTGATTAGTATGATCACATCACTATTTTCCTTCAATGATCTGGCAATGTTGCCTCTTGTATATCACAAGGGACAGGATATCATTTGTGACACAGTTCTAAAGAGCCAATGAACATTTCATCTACCCCTCTATGAACTATTGCTTGGTAGTTTGCAAAATAGTGACAATCAGCAATGACAATTTTTAATGTTAGCTTTGGCTGCTTCCATTTGTTTCCTATTTGGCAGAAATTTAATAAATAAATGAAAATGGGAACCCAATAGAGAATGGATTCACTGTTGTGATATATACATAACATTTATAATTTCCATAAAATCAATGAAATTATTTATATTTTTACATTTAGAAAAATCTGTCAAACAGCTATCTGTTTTGTAATCCCAGCATGACAAAGCTATTGCTGAAACAAGACAAAGGTCACAGCAAAACATGTGCAAGATTTGTTTATAGCTTACAATGTTTGTTCCTTTCTTGCAAACTTTCAAATGCACATGACCATCTCCCAATCATCACTTACAAAATCCAACATGTTTGATCCAAAAGTTGTTGAAGGAACCATCTACTTTCTGTCAAAGAATATGACATAGAGTGACATTGAGTAAATGACCTTGCAACCTATGATCAAACCTACAATGATTGAAAGAATTTTGTTTGGCATTGCCTTCAACCAATTTGCTTCAATATCAACTAGTTTGCACCAGGCTTAATAGTACTAATAATAAAAATACATAAAACAAGTTTATAGAAAAATAATATAATAAAGAATATAATAATTTATTTATTTATTATAAATTATTACCTTTTTAAATATTAAATTGTTAAAAAAATAAATTTGATTAGTATTAATTATAGAAATGATATTATTAATTATAAATAATTAATAAANTAACCTAACCTATTCTAATAATTTGATTGGTAATAATTATGGTAATTTATTAGAATAGGTTAGGTTAGGTTAGGTTAGAACGTGCGTCTCCACTGTTTCCTTTCTTTTGTTTGCTGGAATCAGATGAGCCGCCATTACAGTATACGTATCTGGACTTTAACCAAATAAATATTTAATTTATCCAAAAAGGCTGTTTATTAAATCAATAAAATATTGTATTGAATTTGAATGTATTCTATAGTTATAATTATTTATATTTTTGTTTTATGAAAATAAATATTTCAATCAATAATATATTTATTAAGTTCATTGCTTCGATAAGACGCGTTTTATAATAATATATTTGAATAATTGTACTGAATAAAATCTCAAAATCAAGAACTATAAAATTGTTTTTAATGACTATTTATAGTTTGCTGAAATATTTGTTGTTATAAAATGCATATATAAAAACACTAGACTTTCTTTACGTTCGCAGGATACGAAAAATAGCGAAGTTGCGGTCGACGTTCACGTTTTACAGATGATAACGTCGGCCGCAACCTGGCTAATGTTATTTGTAAGCCATAAATATTTTTTATGTCCATTGACAGAATATAGTTTTTAAGTTATGTTAATTACGGTTTTAAATTTAATGTTTTATGTAAAAAATATGACAAAAATTATATAAAGTTTCTATTAATTAAAGTACTTTTGGTTGACGAACAGTCTTGTTTTATTGATTTTTATTCATATATTTTTGTTTTTCATAGAAGGGTGAAGGCTTGTATTTGTGAATGTCCTAGATCTCTTCTAACTTCTCTAGGCCTGCCACTGGTAATTAATGAAAATTAAATAGGAACAAAATGTTAAAATATTTTAATGAAACAATATTATAAACGTTAAAAATGTTTTTGTTTTATTCAAATTTCAATAAATTATTGTAAATTGAGTTAGTATTGAGATTTAAAAATCTTACATTTAAAAGCATTTTGATTTATACAGTATTTACTCAATTTTCACTTTCAATCAGATTTGGTTTAGTCTCAGATAGGACAGTGTTTTTATCATGTTAACATCTAGAAATATCTAGTGAAATGTTTCATTTTTCTTTCTCTTTACCACAAGTCCATAACGGATATCAATGTTTTCTCTATAGGATTACTTTGTTTCATGCAAGCATTTATATCTTGGAAGCAATACATGGAGATCTTAAGGATAACCAAAAATAACAGAAAACATACTTTCTATTTTTATCCAGCATAGAAATTTAATGAATTAAAAACTGTTTCAATCTCTATTTTATAGGTCTTCCTCAGTTACAAATTAGAATAACTTAAGAAATTGAATGATTTAACAGAATTAAACATATAACTAATATTGGATGTTGAAAAGAACAAAATAAAAATACAAATCTTAGGATTCCATTTTCCCTTACTTCCAATTTTTCTTGAATTTTTGGTTCATAACTCCAATCTTTCCTGTCCAATTTCTTTTCACACTATTTGATTTTCGTGTCTTATGTTCTTTTCAGGCACATAATAAGTTTAGTATGAAGATTGGTGAACATGGTTGAACAGTTATAATAATAAGAAAGTTTTTCAGGATATGACACCAGTCGGTTGTACGCCCAATAATGATCTATGGCCACATATAAGAAACTGAAATTTATACAGGTAAAAGGATGGCAGTAGCAATGTTTTATAATGCAAGGAAAGAGAGCACATAATAATTTAGTTTTGTAGTTAATAGATTTTACATATAGACAAAGCAAGGATGTATAATAATAAAAATTATATCTAACAATATAATTTTTGCCCTTATAAAAATCCTTTAGATTTTTACTAAATTTTTATTATTTTATATGTAAAGTTTTAATACTTTAATGTTTAACAGTTCATTAGTTAATTCGTTTCTTTTATTCGTCCAAATATGCCGTAGCAGTGCCCGCTCTATGGGCGAGCAACCCGGACATTTGTCTAGGGCGCCATTTTGGCTGTAAGTGTGAGAAAAATATTGATGTGTTAAATACTCAATTAATAGAAAATTTTACGTGTCGATTTTTTCGTTCTCTAAAAATTTACGGTGCGTATCGTATTTATATTGTTTATGTCTAAAAGCTAAAAATATTTACGCTATTATTGAAAAATTAACGCAGAATTTGTAAAGGACAATGCTTGAACTTGTTTGAACATGCATATACTTCTCTGAACAGAATAGCATTAACACGCTAGCAGAGCGCTACTTCAGATTGTGTTTGAACATGCATAGACTCGCTTATACTTAACTCTAATTATAAAAGAGCGGTTTCATTACACAATAGCGTTATTCTTGCTATTACGTCGGTAGTGATAAAAGTGGAAGTTCATAAAATTCACTTAAGTGCGATTTCTTAATTTTTAAAGGTAAGTACTGTACTGTACTTCTATAATTAAGCTGTTGTTTAGTTTGATAGATAATAGATACTAGTTTATCGTAAATCGATTATCGAATCAAAACAATGAAGGCGTTTTTAAATAGATGGTTAAAGTCCAGATACGTATACTGTCATGGTGGCTCATCTCTGATTGCAGCAAATAGTGGGGACGCACGTTCTAACCTAACCTAACCTAATTTATTCTAATAATTTGATTGGTAATAATTATGGTAATTTATTAGAATAGGTTAGGTTAGGTTAGGTTAGAACGTGCGTCTCCACTGTTTCCTTTCTTTTGTTTGCTGGAATCAGATGAGCCGCCATTACAGTATACGTATCTGGACTTTAACCAAATAAATATTTAATTTATCCAAAAAGGCTGTTTATTAAATCAATAAAATATTGTATTGAATTTGAATGTATTCTATAGTTATAATTATTTATATTTTTGTTTTATGAAAATAAATATTTCAATCAATAATATATTTATTAAGTTCATTGCTTCGATAAGACGCGTTTTATAATAATATATTTGAATAATTGTACTGAATAAAATCTCAAAATCAAGAACTATAAAATTGTTTTTAATGACTATTTATAGTTTGCTGAAATATTTGTTGTTATAAAATGCATATATAAAAACACTAGACTTTCTTTACGTTCGCAGGATACGAAAAATAGCGAAGTTGCGGTCGACGTTCACGTTTTACAGATGATAACGTCGGCCGCAACCTGGCTAATGTTATTTGTAAGCCATAAATATTTTTTATGTCCATTGACAGAATATAGTTTTTAAGTTATGTTAATTACGGTTTTAGCTTATTTAGAACAAGGATAAATCTTTATTTTTTAAAAATATTATTTTATAGTTTACATTGTTTAATTTGAGTTACGTGCGTGCCTCTTCCAGAATGTTTAACGGTCAAAGAAAACTGTCTCGTTATCAGTACAAAAAAGAAGGCTGGAAAAGGAAGCCGAAAGGCAAAAACAAGCTGGCGTGTTAAGAAATTATATCCAGAGTTGTACCAAAACAAATGACGACTCTGAGAATCCAACATCAAGTCCGGTTATAAAAGAAAATACAAAATCGTCAGAGGATGATGATGACAAACAAATGGACGAAGTTTCTAAATCAATTGGAACTGACGACACTCTGACTCTATCATCACCAGATGAAAGCATTGAAAAAATTGACACCAACATGACTCCCACAGAAAGCATTCTACAAACTTTGAGTACAGATCAAGCATTGTGGCCAAGAATTTTAGGAGACACCGAAAGAAGTTTTTTAGTAAAACAAGGTCCACCTAAACCATTGCATAATTACAAATTTCCTACCAATGACACTGGTCGACATTTTCGTGTGAATTATTATACAGTACACGAATTTTAAGCAATGGAGAGCAAGTTTTACGAGACTGGCTAGCGTACTCTCTTTCCCAAAACTGCGTTTATTGTTTCTGTTGCAAAATTTCCGGCTGTGTAGTTCCGGCTTTCAAAGGAGGGTTTTAAAAGTTGGAAACAC